AGTCATGTATTATTGGAATATTAATGAGGTGAAGAGTATAGAGGATGGAGAACAGCCATATAGAAATGTATATGGAGGTATTACAGGAATAGAAAAAGGATGCAGAGTATAGAGAATGGAGGACGGTCATGTATTATTTAATGTATTAGTGAAATATTAGAAGGGCGCAGAGTATAGAGGATGGTGGACAGTCATATAGTAATGTATATGGAGGTATTTCAGGAAAGGTAGAGGGGTGCAGAGTATAGAGAATGGAGGACGGTCATGTATTATTGAATGTATGTGTTGAATGTGAAATATTAGAAGGGTGCAGAGTATAGAGGATGGTAGACAGTCATATAGTAATGTATATGGAGGTATTTCAGGAAAGGTAGAGGGGTGCAGAGTATAGAGGATGGAGGACAGCCATATAGTAATGGATATGAATGTAGAACTAGAATAGTAGAGGGGTGCACAGTATTGAGGAAGGAGAACAGTCACATAGTAGTGCAACTGCATATGAATGTATTACCGGAATAGTAGAATGCTGCACCTGAGGGCAGAGGATAGAGGACAGTCATATAGTAGAGTATATGGAGATATTACTGGAATAGTTGAGGGTGCAGAGTGTAGAGGTTGAAGGACATTCATATAGTAGTGTATATGGAGATAATAATGGAATCGTACAAGGGTGTAGAGTGTAGAGGATGGAGGACAGCCATATATTAGATAATATTGAGATATTACTGGAATAGTAGAGGGGTGGAGAGAAGAGTGTAGAGGATGGAGGACATTCATATAGTAGTGTATATGGAGATAATCCTGGAAACGTAATGTGGGGTGCAGAGTGTAGAGGATGGAGGACAGATATATAGTAGTATCTATGAAGGTATTATGGGGATAATAGTGGGGTGCAGATTGCAGGAGATGGAGGACAGCTATACAGTAATGACTGTGGGTTGATTCCTGGAATAGCATAGGATATAGATTACAATGAGGATGCAGTAATAAAGATTTGACTATTATTGCAGCAGCTAGCAGATGAAGGGTAGAATGGATGAGCAGAGAGAATCGTATTATTAGAAAATGCTATTCATATAATTTACATGTCACAGCATGTAATGTTCCCACTTCTATAATACAGTCACACCAGAGTTATATTTAGAAGCGAAGCGCTGTCTAGGGATGTATAAGAAAATAGGCTCCAACTTGCTTTCAGCCATATTATGTGCAAAACTCAGTTCTAAATGATCATTTACATAAAATCTACAGCAATGGAGCTGATCAAATCTAATCTTTTTTTTTGGTTTTCTGTTTTCAAGAGAACTGGGAATATTTAAATTAGTAGCTATCTGACTCTTGGGATCCTCAAAAACATATTATCTTTGCTGTCCTGTAGTGTCCTTCCAAGTGCATAACGTTTGCAGTCATGTGACCAAGCTCTCTTTCTCGTTGCACTTTCTTCCGATTCATTTTAATGTAATCCAAAGCAAAGGACGCATGTGCTGGAACTTTTTTTTTTTGCAAAGCAGCATTGTGGCTGCGGAATGCCATTTGGAAATGGCAGGGAGGTTCTATTACAGTGTATAAAAAGTTAGTGCAGTGTACCATGTCATGTTAGTCACAGATAATAATAGTCAAGTTATTTTTCAGGCATTCTCAACCAGGGTTCCTTCAGAATGTGCTATGGGTTCCTTGAGCTGTGGCTGACTGGCCTCCCATCTTATCGTGCCGGCATAATTCCAAGTCCCATAGCATTTGGCAGAGCCAGCAGCGTGACACCAGTGTTTTTTTTACCTGTCTCTAAGTGTGGCATTATGACCACCACTGTAAGCGAACCATTTTTCCCACTGATCACCAATGCAAAGGACATTCTTCCTACTGACCCCCAATGTAAGGAGCCTTCTTCCCACTGACCACAATGTAAGGAGTGTTTTCCCCAATGAAGCCCAAAGAAAGAGGCATTCTTTCCATTGACCACCATTGTACGGATCATTCTTCACACTGACCACCAATGTAAGGAGCATTCTTGCCGCTGACTACCAATGTAAGGAGCATTTTTCTCCCTGACCACCAATGTAAGGAACATTCTTCCCACTGACCACCAATGTAAGGAGCATTCTTCACACTGACCACCAATGTAAGGAGCATTTTCCCCCTTGACCACCAATGAAAGGAGCATTCTTCACACTGACCACCAATGTAGGAGCATTTTCCCCCCTGACCACCAATGTAAAGACCATTCTTCACACTGACCTCCAATGTAAGGAGCATTTCCCCCTTTGACCACCAATGTAAGGAGCATTCTTCACACTGACCACCAGTGTAAGGAGCATTCTTCACACAGACTACCAATGTAAGGGGCATTCTTCCAGCTGACCACCAATGTAAGGAGCATTTTCCCCTTGACCACCAATGTAAGGAGCATTCTTCCCACTGATCACCAATGTTAGGAGCATTCTTCCCACTGTCCATCGATAAATTAAATTTAGCATGGGTTCCCTGAGACCTAAAAATTATTTCAAGGTTTCAAGACCTAAAAATAATTTCAAGGTTTCTTCTGGAATAAAAATGTTTGAGCAAGACTGAGCTAAATGTATTCATTCAAAAATTCCAAGCCTTCATCAGGCTATGCTCTAAAATAGAATCGTTGCATCAAGAACACAGAGCAGGAAGGTGAGGAAGACACAAAACTTTTAAGCTGTTATTGTGTGTTTTGTAGTCAATGAGGACACTGAACTGGATACAGCACATATCAAGGGGTTGCCGTTTTTCTAAAAGGATGCCGGTATGATTATTCTGCCTTTTTTTACATAGCAAAACTTACTAATAGTGTCTTCTGAAGTTAATTTTTATTTCGGCAACAATGATATGTATAATACAGTTGCACAGAGCAGGCAGATTCCATCTTTAGTCACTTCAGAGTAATTTTGCTTAATGTTGTTTGCAGACTGGTTGATTTACGTTTCTGGGATCTGCATATTTTCCTGTTGCTTATTAAATAGGGGTTGTATCATAATGCGACCCCACAGAACTTCCTTTGGCCTCTTCAAAGGTCGGTAGGGGGGCCTTGGTTCCAGCTGTACATGGAGGAGGATGTGTTGTGGCTCGGAGCTAGTAAACAGAGAGCCTGCTGTCATTGCGATCTGGAAAACCTCTGTGACAGGGACAGGCAAGACACAATAAGTGTGTGTCTCAGGGAGCAGAACAGCATGAAGAATGCCTGGGGGTGAATGAGGGATGAGGGGGAGAGAAGAGGACAGAAGAGAAAGAGAAATAGAGGAGAGGAGAGAGGAAATAAGAAGAGTGAAAAGCAGTGGAGAATAAGACGTGGGAGCTGCCAAAGAGAAATTGGAGAGGGATATAAAATAGAGGAACATGGGAGAAGAAATGTGAAGAGTAAAACACAAAGAATGAGAGAAAAATGGACAAGGTGTACAAAGTATGATACCAGTGGAAAAAGACTCAGGAGTGCAAGATATTCAAGAAAAAGCAGGAAGGAGAAAGGTAGAGAGGCAACTGCAGAGGTAGAGGAAGGCAGAATTAAAGAGAGGTAGAAAGAGAGATAGAAAGAGAGACAAGGAGGCAGCAATAAAGGCACATAAAGGCAGGAGTAGAGAGAAAAAGAGAAGTAGCAGTAGAGGCAGAGGAAGGCAGGAGTAGGGAGAACGAGGAAGGCAGGAGTAGAAGAGGAGAGGAAGGCAGGTGTAGAAGGAAAGGAAGGCAGGAATAGTAGGGGAGGTCAGCAGGTGTAGGAAGAAAGGAAGGCAGGAGTAGAAGGGGAGGAAGACAGAGGTAGAAGGAGAGGAAGGCAGGAGTAGAAGAAGAGGGCAGGAGTAAAAGGAAAGGAAGGCAGGAGTAGAGGAGGAGGAAAGCAGGAGTAGAAGGAGAGGATGAAAGGAGAAGAAGACGGGAGTAGAAGGTAAAGAAGATAGGAGTAGGAGAGGAAGTCAGGAGTAGAAGGATAGGAAGGAAGGAGTAGAAGGGGATGAAGGCAGAATTAGGAGAGGAAGGCAGAAGTAGAAAGAGAGGAAGGAAGGAGAAAAAAGAAGAGTAGGAAAGGCAGCAGTAGAAGAGGAAGGCAGGAGTAGAAGGAGAGGAAGTCAGGAGTTGAAGGAAAGGAAGACATGAGACAAAGTATTAAGGACAGGAAAAGATACCTGGAGACTAATGAACAGGGATGATAGAGGGTGGTGATAGGTGCAAGATAGTTTCTCAGTGGGAAAGAATTAGTGGTTGCACAGATAAAAGAGAAATAATGGCCAAGGGATAAAAGGACACATTGGAAAAAAATGTGGAGAGAGGTGAAGCAGAGTGAAGAGTATGACCTAATTATTAGGCAAGGAAAGATAGACTCCATGTCACATAGTCCCTCTTGTCTGTGTTACCCTGTGGTGGAGGGACAGACTCCATGTCACATAGCTCCTCCTGTCTGTATCACCCTGTGGTGGGAGGGACACACTCCATGTCACATAGCTTCTCCTGTCTGTGTCACCCTGTGGTCGGAGGGACAGACTCCATGTCACATAGCTCTTTCTGTCTGTTTAACCTTGAGGTAAGAGGGACATACTCCATGTGACATAGCCCTCCTGTCTGTGTCACCCTGTGAGGAGAGGGACCGACTCCTTGTCACTAAACGAAGCCGAGGAGCATAGGAGATGCTCCTCGGCTCCATTTGGTGGGCATAATGTGGTGTCAACCGAAAGCTAAGACATTCGCAGACCAAACAGCTTTGCAAACTTTTTATAAATACACCCCCTTGTATTTTCAAAAAGAGGTCCAAAATGGGTGCCTTAATATTTTTCTCATAACTATTTTGATTAAATATATAATTTGGATGGCTTTTTAAATTCATGTATTTGTATTATTTATTTACGGGGATCTTGCAGATGAATGTCAACAAATTGGTAGCTTCATTTTACTTTATTGGTTGTACCTATAAATGCATTATTGTAATATTGACATAATCGCCAGAAAAAGTGCCTGCATTCTAATATGCTTTCTTTTACCGTCTTTCAGAAGGCAGTGAAACAGTAAACTCTTCATTAGTTCGTATTTGGCCCATACAGTTGGAGACATGATGGCACAGGTCCTTCATATGGAGTCACATTTTCCAGGTATAGTAAGAGTGCTGTAACATTCATTATGGAGAACCTTGTTTATGGCTGTTCCACAAATAAAGAAAAGAAAAAATCGAAAAAACAATCTCCGGGCAAACAATTTAATGCACAGCTAAAATATGTTTGTGAGCTGTCTTACCTTCCAAAAGATTTGTAGATCCATTTCATCAGTCTTTTTATCTAGGAACCTTTGCCAGACAGCCAGGTTAATTTAGCTTACAGTGCTGCCCCTTTGTTTTAGTCACTGCCTTGGATTGCAGGAAGGTAATATCCAGACAGATCAATAAGTCTTTCAACTCGCCCATGCTGTATATACTGCTTGTCCTTGCCTCAGTTCAGTAGTCAGTGAACATTCCATGGTGAATTGTTAACTGCTGGAGACAAGCAAACTCTGAAGATTCTCAACTGGGCATAGTACAAAATTCAGGCCCTTGTATAATAGAACAATATAATTGATGAATATTATATACAAAGTTGATTATTTCACTAGCTGAGAATGTGTACAAAAAGTGGAGGTGTTCTTAAAGGAGAACTATGAGGTGAGTGCTTTTCACTCACCTCATAGTTCTAGCCGACCTGTGACAATGAGACTGTCACAGATCGGCTCAGTAGATCGGGAGGTGAGCGGACACATGCCGGCGTTCGCTCAACTTCTCGATCCTGTCACGGCTCTCTGCCGTGACAGGGGAGGGGCTGTATTCCCCCCTCCCCGCTCCGATCCGCCAGCGCTGACTGGCGTAACGGACGGGGGAGGGGGCGGGTACAGCTGGCTCTGCCTCTAGATAGGCAGAGCCAGCTGTCACTCACGCAGCTGGGCGGATCTCGACATCGATGTCGGGATCTGCTCCGGCTGCGGCGTCTCAGTATACCGTGAGCTGTAGCTCGCGGTATACTGAGCTTAGGGTGACGGGAGGGCGATAGTTTGTGTCCTCCCGTTACCCTAAGGAGAACTATGGGGGAAAGCCCTGACCCCATAGTTCTCCTTTAAAGCTAAATTGAACCTATAGTTTAAATCATCTAACTACGTTCCAGCTTCATCAAAACAAAGGGAGTCTTGTAGTTTCTATACTTTCTAAAGCAGCCACAGCCAGAATAGAAAAGGCTGTCCTGTCCCAGCAGCTACAGAGTGGGTATAAGAACTAATCTTGCATGGGCCCATATATTTAACTGTAAGATATCTAGCAGACCAGTCAATGTACAGTATATTATGGTTCTTTTTATGTTTTCCAACATTCAGCATAAAGTCACCTTACTTACATAAAAAGACAGACCCAGATAGACTAAACGGAGGGGCTTCATGAATGGGGTGAGGAATAGTCCCTGGATAAGGGGTTACAAAAATAAGATTGCAATTAGCTGTTCTTACCTGATTGCACATTGGGGACAGGTGTCCGGGAGGAGCCGCATGGGTTGGAACTTCAAGGGCTGAGGGGCGTTCTTTCTGGAAAATCGACGGAGGAAGCAGGTTGTCCCGACCGCCCTCGCGGGATGTTGTGGCTTTTCACTGGTTGCAATGTTCTTTTTATGTCACGGCAGCTTGGCGGGTTAGGGAGTCTTTGGGGGGTCCGGAAATCGGAGTAAATTACAAAAAGGGGGGGGGGGGGGGGGGCATCAGCTGGTATGGGTGCTTCTCCCTGTTGGTGTCAGTATTTGTAGGGGGGCCTGGCCCCTTGGAACTTGGGAGAGTTACTGTCCTCAAGATGGTTGGGGTGTGGCTGGGGACATGGGAGCAGTTTTTAGGAGAGGCCTTATTTGGGCTTTTGGGCACCCAAAGACCCCTTCTCAGATCAACAGTCGTTGGGAGTATTTATTTGTATATTATTTGGTTTATTACTTTGGTTATTGTTAAAGTTGGTTTGTTTAATAAAAGGGCTGCTGTGACTGTTAAAATCCTTGTCATGCAGTCTGTGTGTTTATTGGGGTTTTTTAACAGAGGGACTAATACGGCGAATACATAAGTCATGACATATTATTTGTTTTTGTTTTTATAATACCCAGCATACTTTCTAAATATTGTCTTTCTTTTCTGACACTGACTATTTCAATGAAATCATATTTTCTTTGCCATTTGTCTGTCCAGGCAAGACCATCCCTCCTTCTTTATCTGCTATTAAAGACCCCGAAGCACCCTATTCCGTGGAGACACCTTATGGTTATCGGCTGGATTTGGACTTCCTAAAATACGTCGATGATATAGAGAAAGGACATACCATCAAACGAGTGCCCGTCAGCAGGAGGCCTCGATTTGGATCATTACCCCGAGGCCCTGGCTACACTGGATCTTGGTGGACGTCTACGGAGTCCCTCTGCTCCAATGCCAGCAATGATAGGTAAGGATAACGGGTACATAAAAGATTAATGGTAAATATCAATTAAACAACTACTAGATTTCTAAGTTATGATATAATGGAAGTTCATATCGCAGCAATCCAAAAAGGTTCTTATATTAATTAAAATATATGATACAAGCTTTTCAAATCTGAACATACTGCCTGCCGCACTCTGTGGAGTATAGCTAGTAACTATGCACACCAATTATCAAACCATTTGAACACGTTTGTGAAAATAACTTTAATTACTTTTAATGATTGCGTTTTGATTCATGTGGTTTGGTCCATGCTGTCCCACTTATTTATGAGTGATATGTCCAAAAAGTCTAATCTTACTTTTGTTATTTCTCTTTTATTTCAGTCGCCATTCATCGTATTCCTATTGTGGAAGAGGCTTTTACCCAGCGTATGAGGTCAGAAGTGGCTCTCAAGCCTCAAACAGCTTCAATCCCAGGGTGGAGAGAACACTGCTGGATGCCAGCAAGAAGCTGGAGGCTGGACAGTCTCGCCCACTCAGCCTGGGATGCAGGTCCTCCACCTCTATCTCTACACCATCCCTCTCCCGTCTTCCATCCTCATCATCATGTCAACAACTCTCTTCTTTCACGCCGCTAAGTTCTGGGATGTCCACTCCAGTATCTCCAACCCCAGTCCATCTTCAGCATGTAAGGGAGCAGATGGCGGTGGCACTTAAGAGGTTACGCCAGCTGGAAGAGCAAGTTAAAATGATCCCTGTTCTCCAGGTAAAGATTTCGGTGCTCCAAGAGGAAAAACGTCAACTTAGTGTCCAGCTTAAGAGCCAAAAATATCTGGGACACCCCGGGGTCAGCACTAAAAGCAAAACTAGGGGAGAACTTTACATAGAGATTCCAGAGGAAGAGATCAAAGATGGTAGAGAAGGAAGAAAAGAAGCATATGATGGCATGGAAGTAGAAGAAAGGAAGGAACCAGAACAAAAGGAAGACCAAAGAGAAGATGTCAAGAAAGGAAGTTTGCTATCTATTGGAAAACCCACAAAAAAGTTCTGCAGCGTTGGTGTTTGGGTGAGGGAAGTGGACTTCCCTCCTGTTCCAGGCAAACAGCCAGAGGCAGATAAACAGAGGCTTCTGGTTCAGGCACTCTCTGCCAAAATAACAGTACTGGAGAGGCAGCTTGCCCGAGCCTTAAACGAGGTCCAGAATGCTAACCGAAAACTTGAGGAAGCAGAGAAACTAGCAAAGGGAGATGATACATTGAAGAAGGAAAATAAGGAGGAACTGAGGGCAGATGCAGTGAAGGTTGCCAGGGTGGAGAGAGGAAGTGAAGTGGTCTCCAGCACTAAAGTGGGGCCTGCAGTTCACCCGCAGAGGGCACGGAACTTGGAAACTAGAGGTGGAGGAGTAATTAAAGTGAGAGAGGGAGATGCTGATAGAGTCTACAAAAGCAGGGAAGTGATGGATAAACCACTCCTTACATCATCTGGACCTGCTGTCCATGTACATGTGGTCAAAAAAATCAGCATCACTGGACAGAGTGCCAAGGACATAGAAAACAAAGGTAACACATGAGACAACACAATTCTTGTCATGTGAAGACATTATTCATGGCCATTGCTGCCAATAACTCAACAGATTGTGATATGTGCTGTCTACTTACATCTCTTGGGGACTCCACTGGCAAGGGATCCCCACCCCACTACTGTTCTCTGTGTTGTACTATTACGTGCTGTCTATTGCTCTTTGTTTTAAACTATGTACTTCTACTGCTCTCAGTTTTATACTACTATGTACTACCGCTGCCCTCTGTCTTTTACTACTGTGTTGTGCTACTAGTGTTCTATGTATTGTACTACTGTGTGCTACTACTGGTTTCTGTGTTGTACTACTATGTACTACTACCCCTCTCTGTGTTGTACTACTTTGTGCCATCTGTTACTCTGTTTTTTTTATTACTATGTATTACCACTGCCATTTTTGCTGCACTACATTGTTCTCCTTATGCTCTTTGTTGTACTACTATGTACTACTACTGCTTTCTATGTTGTGCTACTACTGCTCTGTGTTGTACTACTGTGTGGTGCTACTGCTCTAAGTGTTGTACTACTGTGTACTACTACTGCTCTAAGTGTTGTACTACTGTGTACTACTACTGCTCTCTGTGTTGTGCTACTATTGCTCTTTGTTTTAACCTACTGTGTACTACTGCTCTCTGGTTCATACTTTAATGTATTACCACTTCCCTTTTTTTTGTACAACTGTGTTAAACTACTGCTTTCTGTGTTGTACTACTATGTACTACTACCCCTCTCTGTGTTGTACTACTTTGTGCTATCAATTACTTTCTGTTTTATACTACTATGTACTACCACTGCCCGCTGTGTTGTACTACTGTGTGCTACTACTGCTCTCCTTCTTTTGTGTGGAGAAGCACTCTGCTTATATGGGCTACTGGATATATGTAGAGCAATGAAGTGCAGATACATTTAATATGTAAATGATGACATTGTTCACTGACTGTTCTTTAATGCTTAAACACAGTTTTCAAGTCAGAACCTGGCCACATGACATTGACAGGTCCCGTTACCCGGGTCTCCTCCCTGCATTTTTTCCCCAATCATTGGAATGAATGGCATTTCGTTTGCTTTGGAGTCCCAAAACACATCTGTAAACCAAAGTGCTGTGCTTTATAAATGCTCCGTGTTGCTTATTTCAGCCAAACTATAGCTGCAATAAGGCCACAACGCTGCTTTATAAATGGGAGATTTTAACAACTGACAAACAACTCCTATCATTTATATACAGTACATGCAAAAGTTATTGTGTTCGGGAAGGAGTCTATCGTAAAATTTATGTACACAATTTTTGATACAAGAAGAATAGAAGCTTATAAGTTGCTCCACAGTGAAGTATTAATAATGGTCTTTATCTCCAGGGCCCGATACCAACAATAAAACTGATGAGCAGCCTCAAAACATTACAAAGGGAGAAACCAACATGGAGCATGTCAGGAGAGAAGAAGACAACTCAGGTAAGAACTGCATGGTGAGGAAGCACTGTGACTCCGTGGTCAGCATTCCACTTTGTGACTGCGATCTCACATTCTACAAAGTCAGATAGAAGTGACATTTCAGGACTGATCAGCTGTTCCAGGGCAGATCGGTTCAACTGCACATACCATCTGCAATGCCGATCTGCCCCAAAACAGCTGAGAAAGCGTTGGCATTCTTCAGCTTTTGCCGGTTACATATTCCACGACGAAAAAGTGAGCGTTATTACGTTAAAATGTGTGACCACGTGACCGGTCAGACATTCCACCGCTGAAAAACTGGGCGGGATTGCGTTAGAATGTGTGACCACGTGACTGGTCACACATTCTAATGCAGTCACAAACTTTGATAGAACACCGGCAAAAGTGGCAGATAGCGGGTTGAGACAAACCATTTACCACTTAAAAGGGGCACTTACAATAGTCAACTTGTTTTCATTTATGTAAAACCTTTGTCCCAAATGGAATGGGGAAAAAATCTAGATGTAACTTCTTAAAAAGTGTTTCCTGGCGTTTGGATTTAATTTGTTAGTCAAGGCGTTTCCACAACTAACTGCACCCCTGGTGTCCTGCCCAGCTCCTGGCAAATCTCCCTGCCCGGCCCATAGCAACCTGGGACACTCTGGCTGGCGTACTGCTTAGCTCCTGGCAACCAGTGACATCATGGGATGCCGGCCAGAGAATCCCAGGTTGCTAAGAGATGTATTAGGGCCATGCAAATCTCCCTGCCCGGCCCATAGCATCCTGGGACACTCTGGCTGGCGTCCCGCCTAGCTCCGGGCAACCAGTGACATCACCCGGTCAGAGTGTCCCAGGTTGCTAAGAGTCGGGCGGGGAGATGTGTATGGGAGAGGGGTAGGGACAGACAAAAAGTCAGCTTTTGATTTTGTTGTGAATGAAGTTTCTTACATGAAAACCACTTTCACAGTTAGAAATTCTTTCATTTGATAGAAATTTTCCAATCCTGCTCCTTCGATTATTTTCATCACTACGGTTGAAAACAATTGTTCATTTGACCCCACTAACTATTAAAAAATGGAACAAATGTTCTGAAAAATATTTTTTTTTTAAATGAAACTCTACTGGTGTATGGACAGCTTAACACTCCCACAGGGTGACAATTCTGCTGTCCATGGGGGGCACCACTGCTCCTCCATGGAGTGGAGCCACCCTAAGACAGGAAGTGTGTTAACGGTCAGATCATCAGGTGAAAATAAAGGAAGAAAGCCTAAAAAAGGAAAACAAATGCAGCCGTCACATCTAACAATTGGTAAACTGCAATGTATTACATTTTTGTTTTTTAGATACTCATTAATACTTAGCAAGTTCAAAGCCAGTGTCCTGTTGTTAAATCATGAAATCACAATAAAGACAACTGTGCAAAGTATTCAGTGTCAGTTCCCATCATAAACCAGTCCACATCTGTCATTTTTCCACAGGTACCCTGGTTTCCACCCACAATTCAGAATTCTACCATACTAGCAGGTTAACTGGCTTCCACTGAATTGGCCGTAGGGTTTATCTGTGTGTGACTGCGGCTAAGACATTCGATCAGGGGTGGGCAACTCCAGCTGTTATGGGACTACAAGTCCCATAAGGCATTGCAAGGGATTTGTAGTTTAAGCACAGCTGGAGGGCTGGAGGTGCCCACCCCATGCATTAGATCAGGGGTAGCCAAACTACGGCCCTTCAGCTGTGGTGGAACTACAAATCCCATGAGGCATTGCAAGATTCTCACAGCCACGACTCCCGGAGAGAGATGAATCATGGGATTTGTAATTTCACGACAGCCTGAGGGCTGGAGGTGCCCACCCCATGCATTAGATGGTTCTCTGTCCTCCATAAATGTCACATGCTATGCTGTTGCTATGTAAATACAGGAAAAAATAGATCAGTAAAAATAGGAAAGTACTTGAATTGAACTTTTTCATGACATTTTTAATCCCATCTACCGGAATGCCAGAGAGATTAAATAGAGCGTTGTTATTTTTAATCCAGTGCAAAGGAAAACTGGCGCGGGTGTTTGTCAGTGCAAATAGCTTTCACCCCATGTACAGTATATGTATATATATATATACACAATAAACCCCCATACAATAATCTATCACACCAGTCACTTTCAAACTCTTAATATTAATGTAGCTCTTAAAGTAATATTAAACTCTCAAACTTTTTTAAATAATAAATCCATATCAAACAAATATGTATTTCCCAGCAAAGTTTTTCTTTACATTTTTCCCCAAACATCTACAGTCATCATGATTCTGAACAGCTCCAACTCTCTCAGCTCTACATCCCTGAACTTCCTGTCCAGGACAAGATCACCAGGGACAGAGCAGTCTCAGCAGATACTAGCTTGGTGAAGGGACAAGAAGAAAGGTGGAGTGAGGAGCAAGGGGGAGGGAAGTGTCTTGCCTTACTGTGCCTGTGGTTACAGCTTACTAGCACACACAAGGGTGGCTCCATAGTGCCCTGCAAGGGAAAGGAGTCACCCTAAAACAAGATATCAGGGCCAATGTTCAGGGGGCCAGCTGATTCTGCAGGAAACTAAGCTTTTTAAACATCAAGATAAAAGATAAAACTCTAATAGGTTGGACTTGATGGACTAATGTCTTTATTCAACCTCAAATACTATGTAACTATGTAAGAAGCAGCGTCCATTGTAAGGGATTTAATCAGCATTTGAAAAAGCGTAAACTCTTTGACATTAATATCACTAAATCTAATTCTTTCCTCAGCCTAAACCCTCTTAACCCTCTAAATCAATTTTAATCTTTGTATATTTTGCCTCCCTTGAATCCTTACTCCCCCTTTGTCATGCTAATACAGTTTTTAAATAAAACACGTTTTTCCATTACATACCTTATTTTAGACCCAGTGATGTAATCTATGCTTCTTTATGCTATACAGGCAGATCATGACCCTCAACCTTTATGCAAGCAGTGGGCTGACACTTGGGAGGAGTTATGCAACTATCAGAATGCCTTGATGGGTGGCTGTCAGTCTGGAGTACTGGGTGGAACCCATTTGCATGCAGGTCCGGTGTAGATAATGCCCACATATGATGCTGAGCCTCATTGAAGGAAGTGAAATTCAATGAATGAAAGAAGCAGAGACAGTCAGGCTGGGATGGAAAGAGCTAGAAGATGCTGGATGTCCTCCAGCCAAGGAAATTAGGTGGGATTTACTTTCCCTCTCCACCATCCAGTTCTTTCTTCACCTGCCTCCTTCATCCAGCAATGTTGGTCCTCTTTAGGTAAAGAGACACTCAGGTCATTCTACTCATTTCCTCAAGCCCCTGGTGTGTCATTGAGACACTTCCTGGGGGTGCATCATCTCACAGGCTGGGTTTCCAGTACTCGAGGACTGAATGGCGCTCATATATCATTATGTGAGTGGCGCTCAGTCTGGGAGGCATGGCTGCCCCTCCCCTGCTGCTGTCAAGAAAGAAGAAGATGCTCCTGTGATGTAATTGGACCAATAAGAAGATTGCAGGAAAATATGTATAGGGGTTTTTAAAGATCAGGAAAATTCCATGCCGGATTTCCACTTTAAACCTGCCAGAGATGCCACATTCTTGTAACTTTGTGTGAGCATTGTCATTTTGGTATTTTAGTATCCATACTTATTTTTTGTTTTGTGATGCTTTTTCAGATTTGGCTGGGCTACCCATTAAAAGATTAACACAGGATGAACAAGAAGCCGAGCCACCACAATTTTCTGGAGTAAATGGAGAGTGAGTTTCTCTTTGAATAATATATATTTTTTGTGTTTCCAATGAAAAGCCAGTTACCTTATATTGTCTACTACAACATGGCTGCCTTCTCTTTACTGTGTAGAATGGATGCTGGCTCTTCAGAGGATTCCGGGACTATGGAGAACCCTTCAGATAGTGAGAGCACTGAGAGTGAATACCATGAGGCCAGTGAGGGCATGGCAATGAGCCCGATGGATCTCCAGCCTGGCAGCAGCAGCCAACCAAGAGAGACAGAGAGGCAAAAAACTCCAGAGGCTGTTACAGTCAGTTTGTCCCCTACCAGTCCGACCCCCAGGTAACACCTACTGCCTACCTAGGTCTGAAACTGATAATGTCATATCTAAACTGGTAATGACTGGGTCATTAAGGCAAAAAATGCAATTGCCTCCCCATGATCCCTGCCATAAAATGGACTGGTAATGACTGGGTTATCAAGGCACAAACTGCCAATGTTCTCCACATGATCTCCTTCATATAATGGACTAGTGATGACTGGGTCATCAAGGCAGAAAATACCAATGTTCCTTTCATGATCTCCTTCATATAATGGACTAGTGATGACTGGGTCATCAAGGCAGAAAATACCAATGTTCCTTCCATGATCTCCTTCATATAAGGGACTGGTAATGACTGGGTCGTCATGGCAAAAAATACCAAAGTTCTCCCCATGATCCCCTTCATACAATGGACAGGTAATGGTTGGGTCATCAAGGCAAAAAATACCAAAGTTCTCCCATGATCCCCATCATTTAATGGCTTATTATCCCTTCCTACCGTACCTCTCAACTCTTTGAGATAAGTAAGAGGGACACACAAAGTTTAAAAGCAAAGGACAAAAACATTAACACTCACTGATAACATTTCTTATACTAAACTGACCACTTTCACATAACTTTCACATGACTTAACCCCTCCCCACTAGTCCTTTAAGAAATTGTAATGCCAAAGGCGTTAGATGAGCTTCCTGATCATGCAATAGCTGTTATTGTCGGTCACAGTAATCACATAACCAGGAGCCCATCCTACTGGCTCCCAATCATCACTGTGTGACCGGCAGCATTCGGTGACAGCGTGGTCACAGTGCTGGAGGCACACAGTTAAGCAGCACAGTATACAGCCCACCTCCATACTGTTACATATATGTGTCCAGTCGATGGAAAGGGGTTAAAAAAACATTACAAAGAGCACAGTAGTATTTTATTGATTGATGTTGTGTCACTGACTAGTCTAATCCGATACACAGAAGATATCATGATTGCTTCATATGGTCAGACAAGGGGCATAGTCTATGATATGGAGGTCAAGGCCTTCAGTTCAACCCCTGAGGAGCACAATGACCATACTGTGGATCAGCAAACTCATCAGTATCGTACATATCCATTTTGGCATTGTGTGTCTTCTTCATTTTTTCCTGCTGTCATGCCGATGCCAAAGTGACACTCTTAGCTGTGAGTGTCTCTGTGGTTTCTATACGGCAGCCACAAGCAAGAAAAGAACCCGTGCTGCTAAGAGGTGTCATATTTTTGTAGTGTGATATTGTTCCATATATATGTATGATGGATGGTGATTCTGCACCCTGAGATGGACTGTTCTTTGTTAACAGAGTGGAGCTCAGTAACATCCTGATCTCAGGCTGCGTGGCTCTGCAGAAGTCCCTCGATGACCCCACAGCTCTCACTGAGGTCGAGAAGGTAAGGAGGATTTGTCAGCAGAAGGTCAATCAAACTGTGAATCTGAATCGGCTGAGGAACCACAGGTCCGAAAATGCCTATCCAGCTGGACTGTGTCCATATTTAATCAATAGGCACCACTCATAACAATATTGGTTCAATGTACATAATGGCTGCCTTTCTTGTTTGAGGGTTACAGGCATCCAATGGTTTCCATAAGTTAGAGTTTCATATGTAATGTGTTTCCTTTGTGACACCTGTGCATTCATTAAATACAGTTTTGGACTCTTGAGCCATTTGTTTGATGCTCTTTTCTGATTTGACTCCATCCTCAGAGTAGATACCACCAGATCTTTGCTATTTACTTTGATTAGAACGTGACAGAACACTCTTTGAGTTTGTTTGAAATGGTTGATGGGTTCACTTTAAGGGTATAGACCAGTGAGAAGATACAGAGACGTGCAGCTCACTTGACCGCCATTTTGTTTTTAGGCAGCAGCACACACGGCAGTTATGCAGGAATGGATGAAAATCCTGCGGCAGAAGGAGGTGGATCCAGCTATCATTCGCCATCATCTAAACGTGTTCCGCGCAATGTCACCGCAGCTACTTGAAGTCATCGTCAACATGGCCGATCCCAAGGGAAACACAGCTGTCCACTACGCAGTGTCCCAGTCCAACTTTACCGTGGTCAGGCAGCTCCTGGAGACTGGTAAGATGTATATGTATGTATGTATGTATGTAAAGTATGTATGCATCTATCTATCTATCTATCTATCTATCTATCTATCTATCTATCTATCTATCGCTCTGTATTTGGTTTTAAAATAACAATTTTCATTAGGGGGGCCTCTGGATTACCTATTGTTGCCAGTGGCTGAGGTGTTTCAAATAATTCTTACCAACAACGATTTTACAAGTTTATCTCTGGAACCGGAAGGGTGGCTAACAGGCAAATGATCTACATTACACCCCTACAACAATGTTTTCTCCATCCTCTACTTCAAGATCATGAGGGACAACTGAAGTCATGCTACCTTTGTGTCCACCCCACACCGCTGTAGACAGGTGTGACATGATAAGGAGGAGGTGTGGCTACATGCAACTCCTAATTTTTTGTATTCCTCCTCATGACTGTTTGACTGTTAGTACGATGAGGACCTCTATAAACTTTGGGGGGTTTTGTTTTCTTTTGTACTGAAAGATGTAGCTTGCTCCTGAAAATTGGGATAATGTTACATGTTTAGCTGTTATATTGCTGAGCAGAACTTGTTTTTTAAATGATTCACCGCCCAGGAATCCACTCTGGTTTATTAGCGGGGCCAGACCAAAATACGAAAACAATTTTTTTCCAAAACAGCGGAAAATACAGATGTTATTTTTATTATGCTGCCTGGAAAATAAGATGGGATTAGTCACTTAACCGGGCCCTCTGGTGTCATCTTTTTTATATATGCTGGTGCGTAACATTTTAAACAGTAAGGCCAAGCAGGGCCCAAAACAGATTTAGCGTGCAAGCCGCTACTTGAACTACATTTCCCGGCAGTCCCAAGGCTGCAGAGAGCAGTGTCAGGGCCGTTTCGGAATTTCAGGAAAATTCGTACGAATTTCGATTCGTAACGAAACGAACCGCACATGTCTACCCTGAAATGAGGCAGGTTGCTCATTGGGTCAAGGTGTGCTTGCCGTTCCCTTTCTGACCAGAGCGTCCCGGGTTGCTAAGAGCTCTTTTGTGAGCACGCAGCAAACGTGTACAAAAATGTGTGATTTGACACGCATTAGCCAAACACATCAAAAACACGAAATGCGCTTTCTGTGCTATTACCTTATAAACGTGGAGGAAAAAAATGCAGAAGGCATGTCGCAGACCTGGCAATTAAAGCTGGGCATACACTGCTTGAAGTGTAACCAAAATTTGAGACGTAGGTGGCCCTGTGAGCATACCACCCCAACAGCGCCTCTTTCCCCTTCCCTGCTAGATAAACTTGATTTATCAAATGAACTGGTCTTAAAAAATTCTCAGCTGAACAGCAGCTGCATCCGTCCAAGCACAGGCACTGTTTGGGTATTTAGCAGTTGCTAGAGTACAATAGCTGGCAGTGGCGGTTCCTCCATCCTAGCTGTTTAGCATGGATGGGGGTCAATGGACTCCCGTGGGCTGAATGAGAGAAATTCAGAGTGTGTATGTTCAGCTTAAGGCAATGCATGTGTGTTATGCTACAAAAAAAAGGGTCACGTCCAAAATTCAGCATGTTAGGGTGTATTGGCAGCCCATTCATCTCAATGGGTTTCCTTAATGCAACACATGTTAATACGTGACATAATGCATGTTATCGCACTGCAAGGAAGTAAATGGGCCCCCAAAGTCCATTGCACCCTAAAAACTCACAATTTTTTCTTCTCTATTGACTCCAATGCATTTCAGTAAAATGACAAAATTTGGGTAAGATTTTCTGATTTTTACCTGAATCACAGAGAAGTACGGTAAATTTACACACCACCAATGCCCTGTGAGCTTCGCAGGATTGGGAAAAGCAGGTAGAAGGTGAGTATTTGTATTATATGAATTAGGACAAGGGTCTCTGTATGTAATCTCTCTTCACTATTCTACGCTCCTTCTGTTTATAGTTCTTCTTGACTTTCTCTTCCTGACTTGTGCTGTGCAATCTCTACATATAACCTGCTGGTATTTTAGGTTCTGCTTTCAGTCTACATCTGTGTTCACTTTCCCTTATCCTTAAAGACGGCCGCGTCCTCTCCTCTCCTCTGTGCACCCTCCTGACTGACCGGCTCTTCCTCTCCCCTCAGGCCTGTGTGATGTGAACAGACAGAATAAGGCCGGATTTACTCCGCTCATGCTCACGGCGCTCGCAGCTTTTCGCTCCCACGAAGACATCGAAACTGTCACACAGATGCTGCGCCTGGGAGACGTCAACTGCCGGGCCAGCCAGGTGCCCAATTCCCTTCTGTCACTTTATATCCAACAATTAAAGTACATGTGAACCCTAAGTGAATAACATTTGGTTTGCTCATGCACTGTGTATAATAAACAATCAACTACATATTGTTTTCACTTTTTCATGCTTTGTTGCATCTCCTGCAAGCTCTTTGCTGCCAGTTCCTGGTTACATGCAATGCAGGTATCCTAATTTTGACAACAGTGGTATGTGTTTCAGTACGGCCCATTGTAGCCTCCGTTGGGAAAGCATGCATGTGATAAGGTGACAACACAGGTGCACAATTGGGAGGCAGGGACAGAGTATTGGCACCCTATAACAGGAAGTGCCTATACAAGGACCTGCATTTGTGGGATCACCAGGTATTGTTGTGATAAAAGCTGCAGATTTTAAAAACAATTGATAAAGACTTTTGACATTTTGTTAACATGGACCTTGGATTTGGGCCACTGATAATGTCCTTGTCACTCCCTGTAAATATCGCCGGCTATAGTGTGTTCAAAAATGTACCTTTTTTAAAAAAAGGCAAATTTTATACTTACCTTACCCTTGTCATCCTTCCATAACACCTAGTCTACAGTGATGTCACACTTCTGGTGAGACCCCGGGGAATAAAGAGCAGCCCAAATCTTACGAAAAGACACGTCTGCAATGGACTGAGGCCCCCATTTACCCCTGAGCGTTTATCACGAGTTCCCCGAAGCGCGACAGCTCTCAAGAATCCCATTAGTTTCAATGGTGCCCGTTCACACCTGAGCCTTGTGTCGCCTGTAGCTCAAACAACATACATGAGCCTTTTTTAGGCAGAATCACGTGTTTTTAGGCCCATAGACTTCAATGGGAGTGCCTAAAACACGTGTGTTTTTCACGCGATTGCGCACCTAACAGCCATCTCCACCTTCCTAGTAACTAGCTTTCTATTAGCTAAAAACAACAGGCTGAAAGCACAGAAAAAATGTGCAAATGTTTTAAAATCGCCTAATGGTGTGAATGGGGGTGAAATGTCTTCTCGTGAGATTTGGCCTGCTCTAGTCAGAAATCTCACCACAAAATGGTTATGTCATGTCCAGCAGTGTGGAAGAAGGGGGTAAGGTAAGTATAAAATCTACCTTTTTTGGCAAATTTTGGACACACTATAGCCAATAACTTTTATAGGGGGAGGGACCTGGACCTTATAAGCAGACCTTGTACTGTACTGCAAGGTCCAATCTAAAGGTTGTATGAGAGTTTATTAATTGGGTTTACATGTACTTAAAATGAATGTCCTCAGGGTTCTCCCTGATGGGCTGACTGAGGCTGGCCATACGCTGGTAGATATACGTACCAACGTTCATACACAAGGATATGGTCAGAACATTCGATAATGCCATCATTGTTGAATGCCGTTCCTAATTTGCTTCCATTGTAACATTCGATTTTGGAATGAATGGAATTTCAAAAAAGCACCTTCACTGTTAGAACTTCATTTGAGAAAAAAATTACCATTCTGCTCTTCACTATAGTTGAAAACGATGGTTGATTTGAGCCCATTAACTAAAAAATCGAACAAACGTTCCAAAAATTATTTTTTTACTGGTGTATGGCCAGCTTAAGACGGTCCTGTCTACTGACAGGAATATGAAGGCTGAGTCTTCTAAAAGTGTCTGGCTTTCTCTGGTTTTGGTATTCTGATTCACTGACCAGGAGGAAGCGTGCAACAAACAAAGTCAGAGTCAAGTCAGAATGATCTAGTCAAGTCAGACTGATCTGCATACTGGTTCCAGGCCAGTGAAACAATGTGGCCGCCAGGGAACCAGCATTTTTCAAGGGTGAGGTCACCATTGATGGCCTCTGTCTATTTCCCATGAGAGGTTTCCTTTAACATCTGTAAAAAAAAGCAATGATAATTTGTTTTTCTGCATTTACATACAAGCTCCAGGCCCATGCTAATTAGATAATTTGATGTGTTCTTGCATATTTATGTCTTAGGTTCCCCCGAAGCTAGAGACACTCTCCGTCTGCAGTGCAGAGGATTGTGGGAAGAACACATAAAGGCAGAATTTAAGCAGCCCTACTAGCAATATTTTAAAAACGGTTTAATTATATTTCACATGGCTGAATTAAAGGGGCAGTCCAACCAAAAGTGATATTTTGGCTATAGGTTAAGCCTGGTGGGATGAGTCAACCCCTGGTTTCCTATATGTCTTGGATGCTCCAACAGCAAGATCTCCCAGCAATAGATCCAGAACTTGTTGCTGCCCTCCTGGGACATTTCAGTGTTCCCACCCACCCTTGCGTGTCCCAGCTCCTATGTATTCTCCATAGTAGGGAGAGTAGAAGGTCCTCATATTGGACACAGACCCGAGGACTCGGCACAGTGGTCTCACCAGTACAATCTCTGAGACACATGAGGAACTGTTAGCTGGTTTAACTCTGCAGCAGGTACTAAACTCTAAACTATCAGATTTGGGTGGACTGCCCATTAGACAAGAGCTTATACATAGTTACATCTACACAGAAAAGCTCTTGTTTCCTGATGCAGGGCATGACGTGATGTAAACAAACAGCAACCAATCCACCCTTGCCTTATATCAAGCAAGCTGTGAGAACAGTGAGATACGATTGTTGGTATAGAACCTGGCTCACTTCCAATATCAAAGTCGGTCTTCCAAGGGTCCAACCTTGGGTAGTCTTAAGCTAGCCACACATTAATATTTCTCTTGATTCTCCCATCAACATTAAACAGGGTGAATAGAGGAACATCCTCTGCCAACTGCTGTATTCTGGCAACCGGCATCTGCGGCTGTCAGGATAGCTGAACAGTAACGGCAGCCAATGTTGGCCGACAAATTTCCAACCAGCTTCTTCAACAATTGTCATTTGAAAAATCAACTTTTTGTTTGAGCTGGGTAACGCCAGAAGAGCCATCCAAAGATTGAATTTCGCCTCGATTCAGTAGGAAATGGCCAAAATTTGATCCATATATGTCCATCTTTAGACTGTGTTACTTTACACTCTGTTATAAACACACATAGAATGCATCAGAAGTAATTGCTCTCTCTCTTTATCTTTTATTTCAGGCTGGGCAAACAGCTCTTATGTTGGCAGTAAGTCATGGCCGTCTAGATGTGGTACGAGCTCTGCTGCAGTGCGGGGCAGATGTCAATGTGCAGGATCATGATGGGTCTACTGCACTCATGTGTGCATGTGAACATGGCCATGTGGATATAGTCAGCCTGCTTTTGGCAGGACCAACTTGTGATGTTTCTCTTACAGATAACGTAAGTCATGACGTAACACATACAGCCTATGCAATACGTAAGAGGAGCCTGTAGTAATCAAGTAGCTTTAGAATCCTCAGATATGACTAGGATCTCTCTCCAGGAGTCTGCTCTGTGTATGATGTAATAGAAGAGCTATATAATGCACACATATACCTAGGATCACTCTCCAGGAGTCTGCTCTGTGTATGATGTAATAGAAGAGCTATATAATGCACACATATACCTAGGATCACTCTCCAGGAGTCTGCTCTGTGTATGATGTAATAGAAGAGCTATATAATGCACACATATACCTAGGATCACTCTCCAGGAGTCTGCATAATGTAATAGAGGAGCTGTGTAACACACACACATCAGGGGGATGTTGTCTAAAAAATGTATGTGTTGTGTGTATAATGTAAGAGATAAAACTCTGGTATAATTCATTATTTTTCTCTTCCTAATAGGATGGGAGTACTGCTCTGTCTATTGCGCTGGAAGCTGGGCAGAATGATATAGCAATGCTTCTATATGCTCATAATGCCAAAATATCTACTCCAGTAAGTACATACCCTCTCATCACAGGGTGACACAGACAGGGGGACCTATGTGACATGGGGTCCTTCCCTCCCATCACAGGGTGACACAGACGGGGGAGCTATGTGACATGGGTTCCTTCCTTCCCACCACAGGGTGGCATAGACAGGGGGAGCTATGTGACATGGAGTCTGTCCCTCCCACCATAGGGTGACACAGACAGGGGGAGCTTTGTGACATGGAGTCCTTCCCTCATACCACAGGGTGACAGACAGGGGGCGCTATGTGACATGGGGTCCTTCCCTCCCACCACAGAGTGACAAAAGCAGGGGGAGCTATGTGACATGTAGTCTGTCCCTCCCACCATAGGATGACACAGACAGAAGGAGCTTTGTGACATGGGATCCTTGCCTCCAATCACAGGGTGTCAGACAGGGGGAGCTATGTGACATGGCATCCTTCCCTCCCAGCACAGGGTGACACAGGCAGGGGGAGCTATGTGACATGGCATCCTTCCCTCCCAGCACAGGGTGACACAGACAGGAGGAGCTATGTGACATGGAGTCTGTCTCTCCCACCACAGGGTGACACAGACAGAGGAGCTATGTGACATGGAGTCTGTCCCTCCCATGACGGGGTGACATAGACAGTAGTGCATTGGGTTATATTGTGTTTTTTTCCATCACATAGGTATTATTTAGGACAGTCCTATCCATAGCAATGCAGCTCTAACTACAAGACAACTTGTAGTAGCCTGATACTATATCAGGATGGTTAGACAAATCTTTTGGACATTTACTGATGACACATTATGTATATTTTTTTCAGGGTGGTGGTGAACAAGCAAAAATGCAGCGTGCGAACCCAACAGATGAATCCCAATAAGAGGAGGATTTGGGGTTTGAAGGTTCCACACCCTTATCCATGTCCTGTGTCTACTCAATTGAAGAAGCTGAGGTGGATGGGTACCTCTGCCTGCCGTTCAGAACTTTCAGGCTTCCCTTGAGACACTGCACTGCAAGAACCACTATGCACCCAGCTTCAGCACCATGGAGAGAGAGAAGCTAGGGGGTGGGGGGTTATTAGTGACGGACTGGACAGGAGTCCTGGAAGGGGTTTAGGGAGAGAAGATGAAGTATGTGTATTACTGAGACACCCGAGGGGGGGAACTGAAGACAAAAAAGTGCATGAACAGAGGGAGCACAAGAAAGCAGAGATGCTGCATACATCAGCCAATCAGATTCCAGCTTTTATTTTCTGCTGCAGGCCAGGAAATGTAAACAAACATTTGATTGGCTGCTTTAGGCAACGTTTCCTGTTTTCCATGCTCCCTACATCAAAGAAAACCTGTGCTGGAAATATACCTAGGCTGTCATTGCTGAGCACTCCATTTTTAAAGTCTTGGTTGCTTGGGTGCAGTGTGGATTCAAAGGCTCCATTACCATCCGAGTCAATGACCTGGAACAGGTAAGCAGATCAGAAGTTCTGATTTTATTTGCTTCACATTTATGCCAGGCCAGTGGTTCAGAAAGTAATTTCAGGTCAAAGACACCCAGGCAACTAGCATTTTTAGACGGTCAGCAATAGCACCCTTCTTGTTTCTCTAAGGACATCCTTGAAGGAATGAGCACTTGAGCTATCTGAAATAAGACCTGTCTGTAATTGCTCACAACAACCAATTTCATACTTGTGGTTTGCAGAGGTCCATTTCTGATGAACCTCTGAACCTTATCAGCTCTGGGGATGCACAGATCTTATTGCAAACACTTGGAGAATGGAGGCACACATGTTCTTGTTGTCATTCACTGCATGAGTGGTTGGAGTAATCATATTGGTTGTTGTGTGTAAAAGTGACAGTTTTCAGATGCTTTGATAAATAAGAGTGCTTGAGGAGGACCTCTTATTTAGCTAGTTAGTATGAAGCAAATATTTATCAAGAATAATGATAATCAAAGAATAATAAAAGTGAAATTTGACAGGGCTAAGCAGTAATTTACCATACTGAACTATTCAAGGCAGGCACTGCTTGTGGCTTTATAAAGGCTATATATTGTACTGTATGGCCAATATGATGTGGACTTCCCTCCCAAGTATGGAATTCAGGTGCACAAAGTCAGCTCTATAAAGGTGGTTTGATGAGTTTGGCATGGAGAAACTCAAGTGGCCTGTACAGAGCCCTGACCTCAACCCAACTGAACGTCTTCGGAGCCAGATCTTTTCATCCAACATAAGCACATGACCAAACAAATGCTCTTTTGGCTGAAATTCCCACAGATAAACCCTAAAGACTTGTGGAAAGCCTTTCTCAAAGAGTGAAGGCAGTTATAGGGGAAGGATGAAACTCCATATTAATGTTCATGGTTTTGGAATAGGATAGCCAACAAGCTCATACAGGTGTGAGGGTGAGGTTTCCACAAACATTTGGTCATATAGCCCCAAAAGCCTGGCAACATCTTTTTGTTATCCTTCTGTTGATCTCAGAGCTCTGATGTTGAGCTCTCTTGATCTCAGAGATGTGAGAGCTCTGTTGTTGCAGTGTGGGCACCTTGGTGACCAATAAAAAGCACATGTGGTGCTCGGGGTCTGCCCAAACCCCATGTTACAGCAATGTCAATGGTTACCGTAAGCATCTGGCTTATGAGAAGGTTTGTACAGATATGTACAAACCATCTGGTGCCTTAGATGCCTGGTGGTTAGTTCAGTATGGTTGTCTAACAGGTTCACATTAAAGTCTGATACAGGGAGGAGATGGCTTTGCTAGGGGGAATGATGAAAGTTAGAAAACAAACCGATGTAGAAGATGTGGGCGAGGGATGTACTAACATGGACACCATAGGCTTGACTCTCTTTCCCGTGGAAGGAGGTAGCTCTGAAATCACTATTTCTGGCAAACAATTTATATTAGAAAATGCCATGAACTTTGTTTAGGTGATTGTTTAATGGTGTATGCCAGGAAGAAAGGAATCATTTAAAGTGACCAGCTACAGACTATGAAAAGATGAGAAGAAGAAGCAGGTGATAAGAAGGACACAAGAAGATGTAGGCAGAAAAGTGTTTGTTTAGGGCAAAATTAAGGGTTGTCGTGATAGGCCACACCACCACCCACTGATACATACCTTCCAAGTTGTCACCACTGATTTTTTCACCTGTTGGAGCCCTTGGGGAAAATGTGGTGCTTCTAGGTCTGGGTAGCCTGTGACCTTCTCTCCTTCCTTCCAGAATGGAGCCATTAACCAGGGCTGAATGTTGTCACGAAAGAGGTCAGTTAGCATGTCTAAGCTCTAAAGCTTACACAGGAATTCGTTAAAATGCTCCTGCAGGCATACAGGGCAGCAGGGGAGATATCAAGGCAGATACATATCAGTGGTTGGGGTGGGAGAGCGAATAGCCTGTCAAGAGAACCTGCCACTTTTCCCTGAATGGGCAAGGTGACAGATTCTCTTTGAGGCAGAAATTCGCCATTTAGATGGATAAGACACAGTTTTTAACAGGGTGACTGCTATTTGGAAAGTGGTAGGTTATAGACAGAATTGGACAAAATGAAATTTACAGATGCAGTTTAAGTAGGGCAGATGGCACGTTAAAAGGTTTGTCTACCCAAAATTGACATTTCAGTTCTAAGTAGGTTCCAGAATATGGAATCACTTTCTGGCTTTTTAAAGAAGTCTCTCTCTCATGAGCATTAAATAGTGTCTCCAATGAAATGTAAAAGAAATATCTTCTTTATTCCTGATCAGTGAGGTCAGCTAGCGGGCTCCCACCCAGTCCCCCTGTGTTAACCCCTCTGTCTCTGTTGGCCCCCTGCACCGTAACAACCAATGATGCTGTGTAGCCCAGCTGCCAGTGCCAGTGACAGCCCCTTAGCGATGCCGCCTGTCTTGGACAAGCATATGGAACTTGAGACAAGCACCATCAATCAAGACTTTAAGTCGTTCGTCTCCTGTTTAGCTGCGTGGTCGGACATCGGTGGGGGGAGGGTACACACCGATGACCACGTCACTAAATGTAGAAAACAACTACCCGCTCGGTGCCCGGAACTGCATGTCCCGGGCATCGGAGATAGAAATTCCACACCCCTGCTGCCCCTCTACTCCTTAGTTGGCCTTCTGGGAAATCCAGCCCTGACCACGCTAGTTCAGCTTGGAGACCACATAGAAAGAAGAGACAAAGTGCCACATGTACTTTGTTCCCTGGGGGGACATTAGCCTACAATAAATAAAATAAGACTTCTTCTTTCAATCTCTCAGGGGCTCCATCCTGAGATCCAATGCTTGTTACCAGGTCACTTACTGAGGCCATTATAATAGCATTTCTGCTACAGTATAGAAAACGCATGAGAAGCATTGAGACTTCTTGCTGGAGCAATGAGTCATAGATCTTGCTGCCGGAGATTCCAAGAATTATAAGCCACAGTGAGGGATATAGCCCCGCTACATCTACACATTACTGAAATGTCAGTTCCTGGTGGACTGGGGCTTTGGTTAGGCAATAAGAATATTATTATGAGGGAAAGAATGAATTTAAATACAAGATGGACCCTCTCCCACGATGCTCCTCTCTCGTTTGCTTCCATACACCAGCCAGTTAAGCTCATTCCATACAATTTCAGCAATAATATTTCTGTTTATTGGTTGTAATAGAGGCACTGCAATATATATATTTTTGTTATCCATACTTATATGTGAGATGGTTTGTTCGACTACCTGTATTTTATGAAGTGTATCACTATATAAATATATGTATATAATCAACAGATGTAAGTGTGTCTTGTGTCTTACGAAAAAAAAAACTTGAAAAATTGCACAGGGGGATCAGCTGAAGAGGTCTGAACCAGGAATAAAACAAACCCCCAGCTTGGATGATGCAGTGAAAGCTTTCCATGTTGTGATCCTGCATGAACTGTGCTTACATTCAGTACGATGTTGGAAGTGCTTATATTGACCACACATGTAATAATAAAGAATCAATCTCCGATCGGATTATTCTGACTCCGATTGTTATATTAGCGATTTATCTCTTGCTGGGACCTCTATGCCTGACCTGTATAAGCAGATATAATCACTACGGACAATCCTTATCAGATAGCTGAACTCACCAAATACCTTTCCATCCACGAAGGTGCTTTATTGATTGCAGCAGGTTAGTTACAGCAAACAACCGGATGCAGCAGATGAATGAAGACTGTATTTAAGGCGGTCATGGATGATAATGTTTCCAGCTAGCATGTGCATGTGGTCCTGTTACAAGTAGCCATGACCTTCGACTTTGTACTGAACAAGAAGGGGGAAATACATCATCATAAATGGGAGGGAACACAGAAAAACAATGCAATAACACAAACAACCACAAGATGTCAGTATATGAATTAGCTATACAATAACAACGAGCAAATGGCTAAAGGAAAATAAACTATATAAATTCTGATTTCACATTTGTATGAATATTAACTATGACTATGGATTGTGTCATTTTTTATACAACTATTGTGACAGCACACGGATCATTTCAAAGGATCATTTCAAATCAATTATTCATCACACGAAATAAAAAGATCAGTTTGGTTCAGATGTATTTTTCCTTTTTCGATAAACACGAACTGCTCATTTTGTGCTTTCTCTTCTCCATTTACCATTTCTTCCTGTTTTCATACAAGTTTTGTCAAGTTTTTTTTTTTTGTCAAGGGGTCCACCTTAAAATAATAATAAAAAAACAGGCAAAATAATAAAATAATAATAAACTCGCCTCTGTCTGTTGTCTTTCTCGCTCGTTTTTCCCCCCCCCCCCCCCCCCCATTAGAAAGACCAACTAATGGGAAGACCAACAGGGTTATTCAGTAAAGGGTGAAGAGTTTAGAGAAGGCAGGAGAAGGGAAAAATCTAGGACAACATCGCTGATTTGGAAACATTCTCGAATTCAGCTCACTTTCCTGTTCAGCTATGTTGTCCAGGGCCGTCTTTAATATTAAGTGGACCCTGGGCAAGATTTTGCTGATGGGCCCCCACAACCCGCCCACCTCCATTACCTGCCCCCCACTTCCTGACCCAGACCCCCGTATCCATCTACATCACCTTC